CAAAACTGGAGGCATCTGGATCTTCGTAGGATCAAGATATTTCGGATACCTCGGTGAAATTAATTCCCCTGAAAGTAATTCGATCTCCTAAAAGAAAGAAAAGAATTCAAAAATTTACAATCTCCCGTTTCGCAAACGTGTGTATCTGTTTAATCTTATTATATTATAGTTGAATCAAATCGTAAATTTGAAAAATCGTGTGGGATGGTATATAAATTTAATCGTTTAATCGATATTAATTAGCATTAAATTTATTGCACGTAGAAAATTTTAATACGTTCGGGATGAATGAATCGATACACGGATTTCGTGATCGTGGCGAAATTGGATGAAACTATTGATTAAAAAGAGAGAAGGATATTTATAAATGTTTATTCTTTAAATTCTATTCTGAAACGTTGGATTCGAAATTAAAATATTATTGTTTTGTTCGATCGTTAAAAAACGACATTTACCGAACGAAATATTCAAATAAAATCGAGGAACATTATTCTTGTAAATTAATTTTCGATATTTTAATACCTCGTGTTCATCGAGTATCAACAGAGTGAATGAAAGTGAACAGAGTTTTAAGGGAATTAACCAAGTTGAAAAAGTAAAAATGTCGAATAAAATTACTTCTAGTGATTAACTTATTAAAACGCTCGAATAACATTTATTCGTTATTACAGTCGATCCTCTTTTCGAAACGTGTTACAATTATTTATTATTATTATCATTACGTTTCGAACGATAAATTATCGAAATAATTTTATTCGTAACTTCGCCTATTAAATTTTGCAATTTTACAGTCACCGAAAATGAAGATATTTTAAAGGAAAAATTAATTCTTCTCCTCGTACAATTCGTTACAACAAAACCTGTTTACCTTTCCAATTTCCTTTCCTTTTCCCCTCCAATTGAAAATACGAGTGAAATTGTATTATTTAAACCTCTTTCACGACATACGTCTCTGTATTAAATTCTAGCAATATTGTTACACTCCAATCTCTCTCTCTTTCTCTCTCTCGTTGCGCACAGAAAACGATACGAAATGCGCCAATCAGAGGTCCAATCACGTTTAATTGTCCTCCCTCATCCTCGAGCCAATCAACTTAAAACCAGACCCAAAGCTAAAAGTTCTCGATACGCTACGAGATTCCCACTACGTGTATCGCGAATACGGTGGCTGGTTGCTTTCCAAGGCGGAGGGGGATCGTCAGATCGACGTTTGTTCCATTATAAATCCCGCTGTTGTATCCGAGAAAATTGAAATCTTTTCTTATCATCGCATCGAAAACGATACGTTTTCGTTCCCGTTGGAATTCACTGAGGAAAGAATGTTTCGAGAAGTGTGCGAAAAGTGATTTCGTTGGACGTTTTCGCTATGCTAAACCGAAGGCTAATCGAACTAAGATCACGTGTTATTATGTATATATATATATATATATAACGAATACATACGATTTAGAAGGAGAAGAATTAATTTTTCTGTAACACATTGACTGCCGTTTCTTCTAAATTTCCTTCAGACCACGCACTGGTCTGTCAATTCTTAATAATCTAACCTCTAAATATATTTAACACGTTGACTTCGCCACGCGTGTTTCTAATGAAATTCTCCTTCAGGCCGCGTGGTGCGCCACTGTATCAAGTATATTCCAGTATTCCTTCTACCGATATTTTAGTAATGCAAGTGATCGCTAGAATCTCGCATCATTTGTTTCTGTTCGTTACTGTTCGCGTCCGTGATAAAAGTATTGATAATAATAATTCTATCGACAATAGTATTGAATAGTGCTGATTTATATAGTATATTTTGGATATTTTAATTTGGATAATTTGGATTACAATTTGGATAATATGACCGTCGACTAGTCGTAACAAATGTACTTCTTAGTCGTGGATTGTATATAAATTATTCGTGTGTCTTGTCTATTAGAGACCAAGGTGAGCAGATGGTCAGAACATGATATGTTCGTAAACTATCTAATTGTCATATCATCGCAATATAAATATTGATAATAATAATTGTATTGACAATAATATTGAACAGTAATATTGATTTAATATATTTTGGATAATTAATTTTATAATTATATTATAAATATATATATTAATATTTTAGATAATAATTTTAATTTGGATAATTTGGATTATATGTCGACTGCCCTTCGACTAGTCGTAACAATGTACTTCTTAGTTGTGGATTGTATATAAATTATTCGTGTGTCTATTAGAGACCAGGGTCTCTCGCCATGTCACAGCAGTAATCGTGTCACGATATGCTCATAAACTATTTAATTGTCGTATCACCACGAAACTCGTGATATACCAAAATTAGAAGATTTAGAGAATTATTGGCTGCAAAATTGTTAGGATTGTCTGAAAATATAAGAAAACCTTGTCAAAATGGAGTCAACATAATATCGCCATTAGGAAAAATAATTCTAAATATTAGACTGCATGCAAATTATGTTATATATATATATAAAAGATGACAAATGGACCGATCAAATACACCAAGGAATTTAAAAAAGACAACAATTTTTTGTCTAAATTGTCCAGATTTGACAACCTTAGCTTTGTATAGAATATTTTAAAATTTTACGTTCAAAATAATTTCTTTAATAAATTATTTTTTTATTATTTTTATAACAATTTAATAACAATTTTATCATACCTTGCAGAATATCTTTCCAAATATCTACGAAGATCGTTCACAAATAGTCAAATAAGCCGAATATAGGTGACGCGGCAGTCAACGTGTTAAAGTATCTTCATTTTCGATTTTATCTCGTCGACGATGTTTTCGTTTCGATCTTCGCAAAGATGAAAACCTTTCCAAAGATTTTTCTAATTTTTCGAAAATAATTATTAACGAATATATCTTTAACTTCTTCTTCGCTTTCTTGCCAATTTGTTCCAATCATCGGAGGATGAGGATGAATTTCCTTCGATTTTCCCTTTCGTCTCTTTTTACGGTTTCTTCCTCGTCGTCGTTCCATCTTTCACTTTTTCCTTTTCCTTTCCTTTTTTGTCTTTCGATCCAAAGCGCAATTGGCCACCTTTCTCTCTCTCTCCTTCAATCTAGCCCACGATAAAAGCCCCACTTTTGATCTCTTGAGGGTTGCTTGCCCCCCTTTTCTCCATGCTAGTTACCCCTTTCGTTTCTCCATGCTTCCCCCCTCCCCCTCCCCCTTTCTCCACCATTTCTCGACCGTTCCACTTTCGCCTCTTTCAACTCTACGTGTCTTTTTTTTTCTTTTTTTTTTCTTCTTTCTTTTCCCCTTTTTCCCTTCCGCCACGGTGCCCCCTTTCCCCCTTTTCGACATCGCGAT